CGCCTCCTCCCCTAGCCCCCCCCCCCCTCCGCCCTCCACCCCCGTCACGGCCCCCCACCCACACAACCACAACGACGATTCCCAAAAAAATCTGTGGATAGAGCAGCGGTCACACATCTGGTTGGCTGCTACAGAGGTCACGCGACAACATTTATATACAACACAATCATCATAAGACATTTACAGCCCTTTGTCAATCCACTGCTGGATGAAGGTCAACCCATGCAGTTTATAGTCATGAGTGGTGGTGGCGTTGGTCGGGGGGATGATTGTTGGACCATACTTCACCACGCTAGTGAGTGTGTGTGTCGGTGTGTGTATCTGTGCGTATGTCTGCACGTCTGTGTTTGTCTCAATGCGCGCGTCTGTGTGCGTATCTGTGGCTGTCTGTGGGTGCTCGCTAACAGCACTAGCCCCAACAGTCTGTGCAGATTACACGAGGGACCTTTGTCTTTGTGGCTGTCTGTATGCACGCGTCTGTCTGTGTTGTTGCATGTGTCGTGTGCGTGTGTCTCTGGTATTTGTGTACCGTATATGTCCTGTGTCTATGCTTGCCTCTGTGTCTGTATGTGTATACGTGTATGTGTGTGTGCGTGTGCCTACGCGTGCTGTCTAACAGCGCCAACACGCCTGTCAAAGTCTGTAGGGGGATTTTAGTCCTTGCATTCTCTGTCTGTGTGTCTCTGTAGTGCATCTGTTTCTGTGCCATGCGTGTTGGACTTCGTTCGCATAGCACGTGACCAACCACGCTATTCGGAGGCGCGGGGAACTGTGTGTAGGAGTATCTTTGTCTGTGCGTCGTTTGCCGGTGCGTGTCTTTGTACGCAGAAAGAGAGACACGGAGAAAGAGACACAGAGAGAGACACAGAGAGAGAGAGACACACAAAGAGAGACACAGAGAGAGAGACACACGGAGAGAGAGAGACAGAGAGAGACACACAGAGAGAGAGACACTGAGAGAGACACATACATAGAGAGACTCAGAAAGACAGACGCACACAGAGAGAGAGGGACACAGAGAGAGATACACACACATAAAGAGACAGAGAGAGACACACACACGGATAAAGAGACACACAGAGAGAGACACACACACAAAGAGATAGACACAGAAAGACGGACGCACACAGAGAGAGAGGGACACAGAGAGAGATACACACACACATAATGAGAGAGACACAGAGAAAGAGAGAGACACACACAGAGAAAGAGACAGAGAGAGACACACACAAAGAGATAGACACAGAGAGACAGACGCACAGAGAGAGAGAGGGACACAGAGAGAGAGACACACACATAGAGAGAGACAAACACAGAGAGAGACAGAGAGATAGAGAGACACACACACATAAAGAGAGACACAGAGACACACACACAGAGAGAGACACACACATAGACAGAGACAAAGAGAGACACACACACAGAGACACACAGAGACACACACAGAGAAAGAGACAGCGAGAGAGAGAGGAACGCGAGCGAAGTAAAATCACATCACGCGGGGCAGTAATGCGATCTCTTCCCCGCGAAGGACGAGACTCAATTACGCTCGCACCACTAAACGCGTGTCCCCAGCGCGTCTCATGAATAGCGGCCAATGAGTGAAATCTGATTACTACCGCACGCAAGCACATGGCGGGGGGGGGGGGGGTTACAACGTTCGCGATCTCAAAGCGGCGACGTTTTATAAAGGGAACAAAATAATTAAAGGGTCGTTCGTGCCGGGGTTGTTGTTGTTGTTGAGGTTTTCTTTAAGGTCACTTTTTTTTGTCGTGAGTTGTTGTCGTCGCCGTCGGTTGTTGTTGTTGTTGATGCTGTTTGATGATGATGATGATGACGGTGTTGACAAACAAACAAAAAATAATGAAATATAGTAGTTCACTGACGGACGAGAAGCGGTTTCAAAAATGCGAGAATTTGCCTCCTCGCGATCGTGTGGGTGCAGTTGGAGCGCCGTGGCCTGCATGCCCAGTGCCGTCGACAGGACGAGTGAGAGTCGGAGGTGGTGGATTGAGAATTGTGCCTACACAGATGCTTACCACCCCATGCAACGGGTGGTGATTTTGTTTTAATGACGCGTACAATGTGTCGACATTTGATCGACATTTCAAGCAAATGCACGCATGTTAAATGCGAAACTGTCACCAGCTAAGCACGTGGAACCCAAACAGCCGTGCTAAAGCAAATATTGACTTCCTTTTGTGGTCTGCTGCTGCTGCTGCAGTTGAAGCTGCTGCTGCTGCTACTGATGCTGAAGCTGCTACTACTGCTGCAGTTGCAGCTCAAGCTGCTGCAGCTCAAGCTGATGCAGCTCAAGCTGATGCAGCTCAAGCTGCTACTACTGCTGCAGTTGCAGCTGAAGCTGCTGCAACTCAAGCTGATGCAGCTCAAGCTGCTACTACTGCTGCAGTTGCTGCTGAAGCTGCTGCAGATGAAGCTGCTGCAGCTCAAGCTGATGCTACTGCTGCAGTTGCTGCTGAAACTGCTGCAGATGAAGCTGCTGCAGCTGAAGCTGCTGCAGCTCAAGCTGATGCTGATGCTGCTGCTGCAGCTGAAACTGATGCAGCTCAAGCTGCTGACGCTGCTGAAGCTGCTGCTGCAGCTGCTGCTGAAACTGCTGCAGCTCAAGCTGATGCTTCTGCTGCAGTTGATGCAGCTCAAGCTGCTGCAGCTCAAGCTGCTGCTGCTGCTGCAGCTGCTGCTGAAACTGCTGCTGCAGCCGCAGCTGCTGAAACTGCTGCTGCGTCTCCACGCTTCCGCAGGAAAGCTACCGGGGGGTTGCGCCATCTCAGCTGAGTCCTGCACTAAGCACACCAGCTGCTATCGATTGTGCGTGCCATCAATTTGCATTATACATTCCTGTGATTGTTGATGTTGTCGTGGTGTAACTTACAAAGAAGCATTATTATCGATCACTTCAGAACGCTGTAAATAGAAGTTTGGTCTTGCTCGTGGAAATTACGGGGAAAGAGGTGATGGTCCCAGGACTGTACGTGTGCATGTTGAACTTCTTTCGCATCGTACGTAGCCAACCGTGCTAATCAGAGGTACAAGGGAAGGATAACTATCGAATTAAGCCCGTTTTGTCACGAACACGAATGTTTATGTATATTCTGGTGGTGGGGGGATGGTGGTTGCGCCCGACGCGATGACGAGGAGGGAGCCACTCCGCTCCCAGCCACAACAAAATAAAACTGCAAAACGCGAAACCGTGAAAAATATTAATTAGACCGCTGTGAACCTGAAATGTCTCGCCTCGTGATATGAATAGATCTGAGATATACATTTTATACACACTCTGTACAAAGACAAAGATCCCCTCACCGGTATAGCCTTAAAAGACTGTTGGGGCAAGTGCTGTTAGCGAGCACCTGTGAAGGCCGGAACGGCACACGAGGGAGTTGGGCGGGCAGCACCACCCCCGGCCGCCTTTGTCTCCCCAGCAGCGATGCTTACACATCGCACCAAGTACTCATTTGAGGCTGAGCCCACCTAGGGGAGGCCCAGGACCGGTTCAAAGAAACGTGACTGGTGTTGGCAGTGAGCGGGAATCGAACTCGGCTCGCCGGGTTCCTAGGGCAGCGCGCTAACCGCTGCACCACCGCTCCCACGCACACACTCATACGTACACGCGCGCGCGCATACACAATTGGCCTGGCAGAGGGGCGTCGTGCTCTGCCTAGCGAGCACGTGGAATCGAATGTTAATTTATTCATAGATTCGCTGTTGTCACGTCACTGTGGTGACGTCGCCAGATGCGTGGGCGGGTTCGCCACGAGGTTTTTTATTTTATTTTTTTGCCCCAACGAGACCAGCGGCGATGTCGTTCCACCAGGTCGATGAAATGTTACTCGCAACACTTTAAAGCAGCTGAATACTTGAACTAAACTATTTATTTATTCGCTCGCTGGTTCAGCAGTTCCACTGCTGGATTATTTTGTCCGCCTGAGGACGATCGCTTGTGTTGCGATCGAAACGTCGTGATATTTTATTTTTGGTTTTCATTTTATTATTTTTTCTACCTACGTGACTTTACCGAAAGAACCAACGAGTATGGATTCCAGCATGTCACGAAAGCTCCAAATCTAGATATGTATTTATTATTATTATTTACCAGGTAAGGTCTAATGAGCTATATAAGCGATTTTTTTATTCCGAAACGACCTGGCGATCACAACCAAATTGTATTATCGTCACGTGGGCATCTAAAGCAGTGACGTTGATTTTAAATGCGGAGGGAAAAACCCGGAGGACCGGGAGGAAAAATCCACGCGACCACGGGGAGAGAGAGAGACACCGCAAACTCCAAATATACAGCAGCAGGCGTCAGGGTCGGGATCGAACCTACGACCTCCTGCATACCAGGCGAGGTAGTTAACATCTCATAGCCACCGTGATGATGATGAGAGAGAGACACGCAAACTCGAAATATACAGCAGCAGGCGTCAGGGTCGGGATCGAACCTACAATCTCCTGTAGACCAGGCGAGGTTGTTAACATCTCCTAGTCATCGTGTGATGATGATGATGATGAGAGAGAAACACCGCTAACTCTAAATATACAGCAGCAGCAGGCGTCAGGGTCGGGATCGAACCTACGGCCTCCTGTAGACCAGGCGAGCTTGTTAACATCTCCTAGTCATCGTGTGATGATGATGAGAGAGAGAGACACAGCTAACTCCAAATATACAGCAGCAGCTGGCGTCAGGGTCGGGATCGAACCTACGACCTCCTGCATACCAGGCGAGGTTGTTAACATCTCCTAGTCATCGTGTGATGATGAGAGAGAGACACCGCAAACTCCAAATATACAGCAGCTGGCGTCAGGGTCGGGATCGAACCTACGACCTCCTGCATACCAGGCGAGGTTGTTAACATCTCCTAGTCATCGTGTGATGATGATGAGAGAGAGACAGGCGTCAGGGTCGGGATCGAACCCACAACCTCCTGTAGACCAGGCGAGACCAGGCGAGGTTGTTAACATCTCCTAGTCATCGTGTGATGATGATGAGAGAGAGACACCACAAACTCCATATACAGCAGCTGGCGTCAGGGTCGGGATCGAACCTACGACCTCCTGCATACCAGGCGAGGTAGTTAACATCTCGCCACTGTGGTGCCCGACCTATCCGCCAGACCCGCGACAATGTAAAAGGTCAAGGCGCAGCCCTGCAATTGCTTGCGCACGGCACCGCTACAAGAAGGGTCTCCGTCAGGGGGCTATGTGGCCTACTCTTGCACGCAATTGAGAGAGAGAGAGAGAGAAATCCGTAGCGTGTTGGCGTTGCATTGGTCTGTTGTTTTGAATGCACACATCCACTTTTGTCAATCCACTGATGGCTACGGGCGATGTTTGTTTGACCATACTTCACCACGCTGGTCAAATGCCGGTTGACATCCAGGACTAGTTCAGGTATTGCTCGCCACTGATGTTAACCGCGGCAGGCAATCGAACTCAGACCTTAAGGTTAATAGTACAGGGTGCTTCAAAAACATGTAAACGCTTACATGGGACTATGTTATTGGAAAAGAACGGATACTACACTGTAACATGATAACAAATGTAATGTTCATAGCTTCAAAAAGCCAAAGAGTCTCCACGTGTTCGCCATCGTTGTCAACGCGTGCCTGGAATCTTCTCCAGGTTATCTCCAGTGCCCGGAGGCAACAGCACATTTATTGTGGTATTTTAGCAAATTCTCAGAAATGTTAACATTTGTTTTTGAAGCACCCTGTACAGTTCGCTAACCATTGCGCCACCACTCTCCCTCCCCCAATGTGAATTACAAGACTAACATGAGAAACACTTTGTAAAAAAAAAAAAACAACAGCCACTTCGCTGGGCGATCATTTGCGATGGCCAGGCCGCTTCTGAAAGATAATAAAATACCCCCCCCCCCCCCAAAAAAAAAACGCAACGTAGCTCAAGTGTGGCCTTAACCTAGATCATACCGTTTCAGTTTAAGTCAACTGTGACCCCTTGACCTTGAGACAAGCATTACGAGGTCTCGGTGGTGGCCGGTTCGCGCTGTGGTCTCTCCCCACGTGGTCACGCAAAAAAAAAGTGTTTCAGTGTCTCCGCGAGTGTTCCTGTTACATTTTAATTGCTCGCGTGGTCCCCATTAACACCCAACACCGCGTGGCAATACCAGGTGTTATAGGCTGCCGAGGGGGGAGGAGGAGGGGGGGGCGGCTAAGTTCTGTGTAAGCAGCGGAGAGCAGTACTTGCGGCCGAATGCCACGGTTGTTGTACTGCACTTCTATGCTCTGCACGTCGTATGTGCTCCACCTCGGCATGCATCTACCCCCACTAATCAGCAGCGTGGTGAAGTATGGTCAACCCCGGCCCCCCCTCCACTCCTAGGGGAGGGGTTAGGAGTGGGGTGGCCACACACCAGTCACGTGATTTACAGGAGGCTCGAGATGATTTAAATAAAAAATAAATTTTATCTGCACTGACTCCGCGCGATGTATGGAAAACCCGCCTCGCACCCAGCACCGTTCATCGCCCAGAAAAATAAAAAATATATTAGTCCGGACTTGTTTTGTCCGGTACTAGTTTCCCCCCCCTCCCCCGCCACGATCCACAACTTCACAGATACAGGCTGCAGTATCACAATCATGCCCTGCTTTTTTTGTTTGTTTGCTAACAACACCACCACAACAACAACAACAAACATGCGAATTCGTGTCTGCGGATTTTCACTCGAGACGCGGGACTGAGAGAGACAGCAGCGACCACTCAACACCAAAGCCACGCCCTTCCCCCACCCATCCAGCGCACATGGAGCGCACGGACCACGTGGAGCACGTGGTGCACGTGGGACGCACGGAGCACGTGGTAGTACGTGGAGCACGTGGAGCGCGCGGTGCACGTGGTAGTACGTGGAGCACGTGGAGCGCGCGGTGCACGTGGTAGTACGTGGAGCACGTGGTGCACGTGGTGCACGTGGAGCACGTGGTGCACGTGGAGCGCACGGAGCACGTGGAGTGCACGGAACACGTGGAGCACGTGGTGCACGTGGAGCACGTGGTGCACGTGGAGCACGTGGTGCACGTGGAGCGCACACAACACGTGGAGCGCACGGAGCACGTGGAGCACGTGGTGCACGTGGAGCACGTGGTGCACGTGGAGCGCACGCAACACGTGGAGCGCACGGAGCACGTGGAGCACGTGGTGCACGTGGTGCACATGGGACGCACAGAGCACGTGGTAGTACGTGGAGCACGTGGAGCACGTGGAGCACGTGGTGCACGTGGAGCGCACGCAACACGTGGAGCGCACGGAACACGTGGAGCACGTGGTGCACGTGGGACGCACGGAGCACGTGGTAGTACGTGGAGCACGTGGAGCGCACAGAGCACGTGGGTGAATCCGCGTGTTCACCGCCACCTCAAGAGAGTGAGTCCGCGCTCTACCCAATTGGCTAAGCAAATAAATATATAAATAAATATACAATGACATCATTTAAATAATCCACGTCGAGAGGTGGGCGCAGCTGCACTCTGAGATTGTTTCGCTCGCACTGCTCTTGAAATCCGCTCGTACGTTTTGTCTTATTTCTTAACATGTTTGTGTCCATCCGATGGTCGCGCTCGTTTTATGTTTTTTTTTTTTGGAGCGGGACGACTCTTTAAAAAACAAAAACATCGATGACGATGACGACGCCACGGTCAAGGTTGCACCTCCGAGGCCCCCCCCCCCACCTCCACCGCCCCCCTTAGCGTCGTGAAGGACCAGCCTGGGTATCTGTTGCGCCATCATCCGCTGGGTGAGTCATTGGCGGCGTGACGCCACCGATGAGTTTGAGAGAGTGACCGAGGCGTCGTGTGTGTGTGTGTGCGCGCGCGTCTCCCTCTCGCTCCGCCCATCACTCCACCTCTCCCGTGTGTTCTTCCGTCCATCCGTGGGGCACACGTGTCACACAGCGCTCCCGTGGGGGGGGAGAAGACTTGACTGACCAGCTTGCAGCTCTCACGCTGAGAATGTGAGTCACCAGCAGCAGTACCAGCAGTGCCACCACCACCACCACGGGTCCTCACGTTGACAGCCACGCAGTCGCTCTCACGTTGAGAAAGAAACCGCCCACCACCCACAACTACACCACCACCACCAGTAGTAGCAGCAGCAGCAGCCATCTCACGTTGAGAGGCAGACAGACTGACAACCACTACTACCTCCAGCACTCCTCACTTTGACAACCAAAGTGGCCACCACCACTACTACACAACGCAACCACCACCTCCTCACAACGGGGCGAGTGGTGGGGCGCGCGGGGTCAGGGCAGGGCAGGGCAGCGGTCAAACGTCGCTTGGTGTCCGCGCGCGGAAAGGCACGTTGGTGGAGAGGCATCCACAGCACAGGATCCACAGCGCCTTCTGGATGTCCTGGTTGCGGAACGCGTAGATGATGGGGTTGATGACCGAGTTGTAGGTGGCGGGCAGCAGCGTGGCGTACGTGTAGACGCTGGGGAAGCTGAGGTCGCCGATGAGGCTGTAGATGGAGAATGGCATCCAGCACGCGGCGAAGGTGCCCAGGATGATGGCAAGCGTCGAGACGCCCTTCTTGGTGGTCACGTAGTGCGACGTGGCGAGGAAGTGGTGCTGCACGGCGATCTGCTGCGCGTGCCTGCACACGATCTTGCAGATCTGCGCGTACAGCTGCAGCATGATGGCGAACACGAAGAGGAAGGTGACGGAGAGGAAGACCACGTGGTTCTTGGTGAGCGGTCGGATGATGCTGCACGAGGCGAAGTCGCGCAGGCAGTTCCAGCCGAGCGAGGGCAGCGCGCCGAGTACGAGCGACGCGCCCCACGTGGTGGCGAGCATGATGTAGGTGCACGACATTGTCCTCTCCGAGTGGTAGGTGAGCGCGTAGTAGAGCGACAGGTACCTGTCGATGGTGATGGACAGCAGGCTGGACACGGACGCGGAGAAGGAGGCGACCAGGAGGCCGACGCTCACCAGGCTCGACGCGTCCGACTGGTACACGTACTGGAACACGAAGTAGAAGATGAGGCCCAGGCCCGCGAGGAGATCGGCCGTGGCGAGGCTGCCGATGAGCAGGAACATCGGCTCGCGCAGCGCGGGCGAGTGGACGATCACGGCGACAACCACGGCGTTCTCGCACGCGATGAGCGAGCCCGTGACGCACAGCGCCACGTCCCAGGGGTTCACCGAGGAGAAGCTGGGCACCACGGAGGCGGCGGCCAGGGACGAGGAGGAGTTGCTTCCGTCGACGGAGCCCTCCATGATCATCGCGGCCGAGGGGGTGAGGCGCGCCGATAAGTTGGAGACGTCCTCGTTCATGCTCCGAGAGGTGCCTAGACTCGATCCGGCGGCGGCATCGGCTCGTCCTTCGCTCTTCCTCGTCGTCGTCGTCGTCGACTCTGCCAACACCACCAACACCACGACCACCACCACCACCACCCTTGTCGGTCCGGCCGTCCCCGGTCACAGCAGCGAGGAGATTGGAAGCGACCTGCAGCAGCGTGCGGACGCGTCAAAGGTTAGCGAGCCGCCGATAAAGCACGGTCGGCTACGTACGGTGCGAAAGAAGTTCGACAAACATGCGTACAAAGGCGGAGTAGTGAGTGTGCACGCTCACGATGTTCGTCGAATATTTTTTTTTATGATTTACAAACGTTAAAATTACAACATCAGCAGCATCGTGAGAGATGGCGATATCGTCTTGTGTAAGTCCTTCATCCAGCAGTGGATTGATCGTGGCTGCTGCTGGTGATGAGTTTTTGTCAAGCTCTTCTATTAAGGGGGTCGCTCATTTTTCTCTGCTGCCCCCACAGTCTGGAAAACCCCGTCCCCCAATTCAAATCCAGGCTCCAGACGTTTCTCATATCCTTTGCCTATGACTGGACCCATGGACTCACACAGAGACCCATAGACTGACATACACACCCATAGATTTGACACGGAGACCCATGGACTCACACAGAGACCCATAGGCTGACATAGACACCCATAGATTTCACACGGAGACCCATGGACTCACATAGAGACCCATAGACTGACATAAACACCCATAGATTTCACACGGAGACCCATGGACTCACACAGAGACCCATAGACTGACATACACACCCATATATTTCACACGGAGACCTATGGACTCACACAGAGACCCATAGACTGACACAGACACCCATAGATTTTACACGGAGACCCATAGACTCACACAGAGACCCATAGACTGACATAGACACCCATAGATTTCACACGGAGACCCATGGACTCACACAGAGACCCATAGACTGACATAGACACCCATAGATTTCACACGGAGACCCATGGACTCACACAGAGACCCATAGACTGACATAGACACCGATAGATTTCACACGGAAACCCATGGACTCACACAGAGACCCATAGACTGACATAGACACCGATAGATTTCACACGGAAACCCATGGACTCACACAGAGACCCATAGACTGACATAGACACCGATATATTTCACACAGAGACCCATGAACTCACACAGAGACCCATAGACTTACATAAACACCCATAGATTTCACACGGAGACCCATGGACTCACACAGAGACCCATAGACTGACATAGACACCCATAGATTTCACACGGTGACCCATGGACTCACACAGAGACCCATAAACTGACATAGGCACCCATAGATTTCACACGGAGACCCATGGACTCACACAGAGACCCATAGACTGACATAGACACCCATATATTTTACACGGAGATCCATGGACTCATACAGAGACCCATAGACTGACATAGACGCCCATAGATTTTACACGGAGACCCATGGACTCACACAGAGACCCATAGACTGACATAGACGCCCATAGATTTTACACGGAGACCCATGGACTCACACAGAGACCCATAGACTGACATAGACACCCATAGATGTCACACGGAGACCCATGGACTCACATAGAGACCCATAGATTGACACAGACACCCATAGATTTTACACGGTGACCCATGGACTCACACAGAGACCCATAGACTGACATAGACGCCCATAGATTTTACACGGTGACCCATGGACTCACACAGAGACCCATAGACTGACATAGACACCCATAGATGTCACACGGCGACCCATTGACTCACATAGATACCCATAGACTTGCATAGATAACCCACAGTCTTACATCGGGACCCATATGCTCACACAGGGACCTATAGACTTGCATAGAGACCCATAGACTTACATAGAAAACCACAGACGACAATGTTCTGATCTTTGAGCCTACCCCCCGCTCTTGGTTTTATTGAATGATATATTGATCGTAAACAATGATGATAATGACGACGACGACGATGATGACTTTCTTCCGTTCGACTGAACTGAATTCACTTCCTCGTAAGGAACGTGGCTGCATCATTCCTCTGTGATCTTCTCTTACTCTGGCACCGGATGCTGAGGCAGCAGCGTGCTCGGAACACGAACCCAGACGCCACAAAGACAAAGATCCCCCGTATAGCCTTAACAAGCTGTCGGGGCAAGTGCTGCTAGCGAGTAGCACACCTAATGAAGGCCGGCACGGCACACGATGGGGTGGGTGGCCAGCACTACGCCCGACCGCCTTTGTCTCCCCAGTGGCGATGTTTTCACACCGCATCAGGTACTCATTTGAGGCTCAGTTAACCTAGCGGAAGCCGAGGACCGATTCAGATAATCGCCACTGGTGTTGGCCCCGAGCGGGAATGGAACCCGGGTCGCCAGGTTCGTAACGCAGCGCGCTAACCGCTGCGCCACCGCTCCCACGCACACACACACTTACACACACACTCGCACACACACAGCCACCTACACACTCGCACACACACACACACTCGCACACACACACGTACACACACACTCGCACACACACACACCCGCACACACACACGTACACACACACGCTCGCAACACACACACACACACTCGCACACCCGCACACACACACGTACACACACACGCTCGCAACACACACACACACGGAAGCACACACACACTCGCACACACACGCGCGCGTTCAGCGATATTCGAGTGATCTCTGGGTGGGAACGCCCGTTCCCTCTTCTCGGGTATCCGGCAGCGTGAGTCACTTGCCCGTGCCGGACAGAACAACAGAAACCAGGGAGAAGAATAATTGGTATTATTGTGGTCGTAGTATTGTTATTGATGACAGCACTGTTGCTCAGGAGCTCGATGCCAATGTCGAGGTCCTGCTGCTACTGCTGCTGACCAGCATGAGACAGCTTTAGCAGGGACAGAGAGTTCGTGTCGTGTCGCTGTTCCTCCTTCGTTGAAGAGGCCCAGATCACAGTGGGCTCACCGTGCGGTCCGTAGTCCGTATCTCTATGGGTCTCTATGCATCTCTATGTGTCTCTGTGTGTATCTATGTATCTCTGTGTCTCTATGTGTCTCTATGCGTCTCTATGGGTCTCTATGTGTCTCTATGCATCTCTGTATCTCTGTTTATCTCTATGTGTCTCTATGTGTCTTTATGTATCTCTGTGTGTCTCTATGTATCTCTATGTGTCTCTGTATCTCTGTGTGTCTCTATGTCTCTCTGTATCTCTGTGTGTCTCTATGTGTCTCTATGCATATCTGTATCTCTGTGTATCTCTATGTGTCTCTATGTGTCTCTGTATCTCTGTGTGTCTCTATGTATCTCGATGGGTCTCGATGTATCTCTGTGTGTCTCTGTGTGTCTCTATGTGTCTCTATGGGTCTCTATGCATCTCTGTATCTCTGTGTGTCTCTATGTATCTCTGTGTCTCTATGTATCTCTATGTATCGCTATGTGTCTCTGTATCTCTGTGTGTCTCTATGTATCTCTATGGGTCTCTATGTATCTCTGTGTGTCTCTGTGTGTCTCTGTGTCTCTATGGGTCTCTATGCATCTCTGTATCTCTGTGTGTCTCTATGTATCTCTATGTGTCTCTATGTATCTCTGTGTGTCTCTATGTGTCTCTATGCATCTCTATGTATCTCTGTGTGTCTCTATGTGTGTCTATGTATCTCTGTGTGTCTCTATGTATCTCTGTGTATCTCTATGTGTCTCTATGAGTCTCTATGTATATCTATGTATATCTATGTGTCCCTATGTGTCTCTGTGTGTATCTATGTATGTATAAATGTGCCTCAATGAGTCTCTATGTGTCTCTATGAGACTCCATGGGTTTACTTTATGGTCCACCCTCTGGGTTGCATGGCCTCAATTAGCACGACTGATGCTTGTCCTTAATGGACATCTATGTATCTCTATGGGTGTGTGTGCATCTCTATGGCTCTCTGTGCGCCTCTGTTTCTCTCTGTATGCCTACGTGTCCCTATGGGTTGAATATATGGCCCGTTGTGTTGATTAGATGGCCATAGTCGCACGGTTGGCCTGCGTACGGTGCGAAGGAACGCCCAGCATGCACGGCTGTCTGTGTGTGTGTGTGCGATATACCGAACTGCATTTTTATTTTCCACAATTTAACCACGATTCTGCTGTCGTAGTCACGCAACGCGACGAGGAATCCATTCGGGAATCTCGCGAAGTACGTAGAGCGTCAAGAGAACGGCCCGCAGAAGTGGGTATCACAGAGCTGCCGCTGAGATCCCTGCTTCAAGTAACGTCTGGTGCGTATAGTGGTGGGGGGGGGGAGGGGGAAACAAAGGTGGCCGGGCATGGTGCTGGCCAAACCACCCCCTCGTGTGAGTACCCGCTGCAGCGAGTAAACATCCGGACTGGGAAGACAAAGGCGGCCGGGTGTAGTTGCTGGCCACCAACCCCCTCCGTGTGTGCCGTGCCGGCCTTCAATGGTGCTCGCTAACTGCACTTGCCCCAACAATCTGTTAAAGGCTACACAAGGAGGGGGATCTTTGTCTTTGTGTGTGCGCGTTCCTCTCAGGACAGGGTAAGGATGGGGGGGGGGGGAGCAGTGGGCGCTGGAGGAGGGCCGCGTGCTCGGTAGCAGATGACGGTAGAGAGCTCTGTGCGTGCAGATTGTGAGCTACCCGTGGGAGGCCGTGGGACTGCGAGAAGGGCTGAGTGCAGATGCAGCACTTGTCGTAGTTTAATAAAAATCAAAATATTACATAGAAAACAGGGGAAACATAGACATAGAGTAGGGAGAGAGGGGGTACAGAGAGAGGGGGGGGCAGAGAGAGGGGGTAGAGAGAGAGAGGGAGGGAAGGGGTATAAGAAGGATGAGAGCAGAGCGTGAAATCTTTTGTGAAATCTTTCATTTAAAAAGGGGGGTGGGGGCACAAAAAGCAAAGCGTTGAAAAAAAACCGAAATGATGAGCGAAGCAAAGTGCCGACTACACCGAGCATCTTCCTGTTTCCTCTGATCGTAAAAGAAGAGGGAGGAGAGAAAGCGACGGGGGAGCGAGCAATTAAGGGGAGAGGGGGTCAATGAGGAGTGCATCAAGCGAGAGAGACATCGGAGAGGGTCGGGAGAGAGATGGGAGACGAATCGCAGAGGCAGAGAGAAAATGGGAATAG